TTACTAAGTGAGAAGTCTGATAAGTTATTAAGTAACAAGTCTGGAAAATGGTGACTATGCTGGTTTCTGCATGAATTAGCGTATTTGTAGCACATAAACTTCTTGAAACTTGTTTTCCTGAAACAAATTCTGAATAATATTTTTATTTTTATTGCATATTTCTAATAAACTAGTTAAAGTGTATAATATATACTGCCAATTTATACTCATCATCTTTGATCCATTATAGACACAGAGAACAGAGATAAATCTTCTTTACTACAGCAACCAAAACAAGAAGAGGAAGTGTTAGACCAGGGTATGTATGTTTATTTCTATAATTAGGCCTAGAAAATTATTTATTATTCTAATAGACAACCAAATTAATAAGTTATTGAGATAGCTTAGTTCTCTATCAGCTCCCAATACTATGAATTGCTATATGTATACATATATTTTCGAATTGCTATATTTTTATAAAATACATAATTCATAAGGATATTCAATTATGCTTTACCTTGAAAGTAAAATTCATTTGTGTAATTTAATCTCACTCAATTTTCCTGCTCCTTGTTTTAGTTTATTTAACATGGTAAATTTTATGTGTAAAGCAAATTAAGGCAATCTTGCTTTTTAAATCTAATGACCTTTACCATTTAAATTCTTGTATGTTTGTATGGTTTGTTCATTAACTATATTTGAACTTCAAGAAAAAGAAATTGAGAATTATAGCCACCCCTTGCTTCTGTAAGTCACTCTGGCTTCAATGAGGTAGGAGTGATTTCTGTCTTAAATGTTTGTGGTTTTGTATATTTGCTCAAAATGTAGTTGTCATGTGATGAGTTAAGAAAGCATCATTCTGAGTTAGTTCTACTTAATTGAAATGGTTATGCTTGATGCTTGTATGTCATCTACTGCATGTGTTGGCACCCCAAAATCACTCTCCTGAATCTGGATTTCCTGCCAGTTATTTCGAAGATGGTGTTTCATTTTGGGGTACATGATCCTATCCATCATTTTTGACTTGGATATGAAATATTTTAAGCAATTTTTATATATTTAATACCGTGATATATATTTTTTTATATTTGGGGGTCATAATGTATTATAAACCATTAGTTTATTGCTAATATGGATATATTTCTACTGACTACATAAAGTATGCAGGAAATAAGACATTTGTATTATCAGCATATACAATTCCAAATTTGGGGACATTGCAAATTACTTTTGTAATTCTCCAACGTAGCCTATAGTATGTGCAGGTCTAAGACGGCACTCTGACAGTAATAATTACTTTTGCAAAATTAAAGATTCTCACTTTGAACAGGGAAAATGCATTCCAAAAGAAGTAGCAAACCAACACGGATTTTAAATTATAGAGTATGTTCTTTAATATCTCATTCTTTTCTTTTATTGTAGTTTGGGTGATTAATATTTCATTCTAGCAAAATGGCTCTTAAAAATATTGTTTAGCTTAAAATTAGGATGATGATTTTATATGAATTGGCTGTTGAATATTATTTTAAAAGAGCTTAAGTTAACACTCTAACACATAGTTTAGCAATATTATAATTAAACTCAAATTTGATCAGACATAAATTTTTAAAAATTTTACATTGGATTAACTCTTGGGTAGATATGCCTTTGAAATAATTTGAGTCATTTTAGAATACATTTCTGAATACTGATATATATGATGAAGTATAAAATGATGCCACTGTTTAGTAGATGCATCTTGTAAAACTGTGTTTCTATGGAAACTAAGGCCAGACTATGTTTTTCTTGTGATATTAGTTGAATTTATCAAAGGAGACATTGGACTTGCAAAGATGGAAACCCAGAGGTTTTGTTATTGATACTACAAAACAACTGTCTATGTTAGGTTTGATCTGATCTTTGCGAATTGTAAGATTTAAGAGGTGTTACATATGAATATGAAATGCCACCACCACCCCCTGTATTCATATGTAAAATCATCTGAATTCTACTCTTGGAAAAGAGCCAATTAAAACGAACATTTTTGGTTGCTTTGTAGTATCCATAACAATCCCTCTATTTGTGGATACAGAGGAGTGATAGTGAAGCACTTGGCTGCAGATCAAGAGGTTGCAATCCATCTCTCTCTCTCTGTGGGAGGAAGACGTGGCACCTGCTCCTGTAAAACTTTACAGCCTTGTAAACCCCATGTGCAACAGAGGGCTCAAGAATGAGCAACTGTGAGTGATGCAGGACCAGGCAATGTTTTGTTCTCTTGTGCATAAGGTCACTGAGGGTCAGAACCCACAGGAAGGCACCTAACAATTGTTGACAGCAAACCCTGTGTGTTAGTTCTCCTAAGTCCATAGAATCTCTGTCAGGTAGAATCAAGTTGAAGGCAGTCGGTTTGGACACATTTGGACATAAATAAAATAATTTCATACGTTGACATCCATTTACCCTTCACTGTTTTATAACACATACATCAAAAGTTTGAAGATTGTTTACAATAATTAAATGGGCACAAAAGAAATTATTTTCCTATAGATTTTAGTTTCCTTTACTTAGGGATGAAAATACGGAAAACACAGGGATCTACTTGGGATGGAAAACAAGGCATTATTCGGTCTCAATGTTTGTATTATGGAAAATATACTCGTATAATTTCATATCCTGAAATTGGTAGTTCCATTCAGAAATCAGCTCTCACATTTTGTAAAGACTGATACCTCACCAAAACTGTCCCAGTGGCTAATCATAGTGTTACTGCCGGCTTTCCCTTGGCCCCAGGAACAGAGAGGCAGAGTCACCGAGGCTGCAAACAACAAAGGAGTGTATTGACTAGCTCGAGCTAGGGCCCAAGTCCCAGAACACCAACATAGTGCCCTCCTCCGAGACGAGGACCCCGGCCTGGGGCACAAGCCAAGTTTTTATTCTCCTTATAGATTACATAAACTGGGTGAAACTACTCCCCCTCACCCTCCCATAGTTCAATGAATTCATCTGGAGACAATGGCTGTGTAGGTCTTTTTGGTTGACTGGCTCCCCTCTCGGGACGTTCCAATTGTGGTCACTCACGACTTTTTAGGTGCGGTCAGTGTCATTGTGATCACTCGGGCCTTTCCAGGTGTGGTCCGTGTCATTTCCGAGGAGAGGGTGACTTTGTTAGAGAAATGAAGCCCAAGGTTGGAAAAATGAAATTTAGGCCTATTTTAAGAGGTTCGGCCTGTCATGGAGTCACTGCTGCCTTACATTAGCCTGTTGTGTTATCCTACTGATCTCTGGGGACCACTGGCCTAGAATTTAGAGTAATAATGGAAATACACTAAATGCATATTTGTACATATAGTTCATTTGGTTTCCTAATGACCTCAATCTATCTCCTTACAATGCACAGGCCAAATCTACTCATTACTAAGAGGATGTTGCCTTTTCATATAGATAATTTGTTTATACAAACATCTATTTGTAGATTTTCCCCAGTCAAGTCTACCAATCAGCTAATAGGAAGATTGTAATTATTTAAATCAATGATGTCATATATGCCAGTTTTAAACACAAGCCCTCAAACATAACCCCTTTGCCTTACTTGGTTTTCTGGTGAAAATAATTTAGCCCCATATGCTTCTGTGTAGGTTGATCCTTTTGATTTTTTTATTACCAATAAATAAAAGTGCTTTTCTCACCTCAGTTGTGCTGGCCACAAGCTAATGGACAGCTCCTATGTGTTTACAAGAAGATGTCAAATCTCCATAGGAGACAGAACTGCTGTGGGGAGGCAGGAAAGACAAAGTATCAGACAGACTAGGGCAAGCTCTGTGCTCATCGGGGGCTAAATGATAAAGATAATTCTACCTTTATAAGGCAAACCTTGGTTTTTGTCTTTATCCCAGTTCTTTTCTTAACCATTTGGAAAGCAGATACTGAAGATTAAGATCATGGCCCATGTAGTGTAGTATTAAGGTGGGGGGGGGGCAGCCCCCCACCCACTACTACCCACGGGTTCAGTAAGCACAATTGAGACCTATATAAGTATTATATTAAGTCATCGAGAGCATGAGCGATATAAGAGCTATTATAATAATGCAGCAAGACACATTACATGGTAGCATTGCTCACCTCAACACAGCTTGGGGGTCTACGTGGAGAAAGCGGGAAGGGAAAGAGGACCATGGAGAGAGGACTGGAGTGAGGGGGAAGAGAGGAGAGGGCGGGAACGACCAGAGAGAGACATCTCTATTGCTGACCCACACCTATACACCTTTTGGGCGTGCAAGCCCACCAATTACAGGAAAAGACATACATCACAGGAAGGGATTGCACTATAGGTTATACAGCAATGAGAGGGGGTGGTCTAGGGACATACAGGCAATAGGAAGAGGAGGGATTGTGGGGATACATGTGACAAGATGGGCGGGTCCTAGATTTAGGTTGGCAGCTTAACTTTGACCTGTTCTCTGGGTCTCCATAGGAACCATTATCAGTAGGGTGTAAACCCCACCTACAGGAACCAAGCTAATGGTCGCAAGCCTTAGCTCATTGTCCCCAGCAGCAGGGAACAGGCCCCCCCTTTGGTCTGGCCACTGACCAGGGAGGATGACCTCCCCCCCCACATGTAGGGTAAAAGAGACTATCTTTATTAGAGTAATAAAGTGAGTGTGAGAGAGAAAGAGAACAATTCTCTTATTCCATAGGCTGAGACAAAAGAGAGAGCTTTGCCACAGATGATCCAGAAATAGTAGTATCTATCTCCATCGTGGAGAGCAAAAAAACATCAAAACAAACCAACGATCATTTTGACATGGATTTATCTAATATTCTGCTTCTCTGGGAGAACTATAAATTATTTCTTTTGAAATTCTTTCACTGAAATGGCTAGCTACATTGTTTTTGGTTTGTGTATGCCAGAATATTCATCTTGATTGAAAATTAATGTTTTAGAGACTGCTAATGTAGTCTCGTCCCACTCTGTGCTGACTCACAAACACACTAACATACCATGGCGTTGTTCTCTACATCTGCTTTCTCTGTTACAGAATTCAGTGTAAGGCAAATTTCAGGCACCATCCCAAAAGGTGTAATTACAGAGACACCAATAAACCTCCTGTGGCAGCTTTATGCACCAGGTTGTCCTGTGTCATGCAACAATGGGAAACATGTTAATGAGGCTTTAATTAAGTCTGCAGGGATTTTTTTAAATTAATGCTTATTTTGACTGATTTTTTAAAAATAATATTCATTATAGATGTTATGTAAATTCTTTGTAAAATTCGAGAAAGCAACTCAAAATCATCCCTAGTCCCCAGAGCTGTGGATTAATATATATGTTTGTATATGTGA